TCATAGTAGAATCTCCATTTTACAGCTATATTTGCTATACTTAGAACACATTTTTTTTCCTACATGCTGAACTGTCAAAAGCAGTGTTTCCAGATGACAAGGTTACTTAGTAACAATGATTTTCTTATTTATTAGTTCTCTAGTTTTGTTCATTTGAATAATTTTTAATTGCTGTCCTTCCAATATTTGATAAAAATGCTAATTCATAAAATGCCAAGATCCATTCACAGTTGTTTCTTCGGACCCCTTTACTGGTAACATACCTGTTTTAGCCTATTTATGGTTTTCCTAAAACTTATTAGACTGTTATTCTAATTCAGTTAATGAAGTTATTCTACTTAATATATGATCTCTTCATTTTATATACCTCGAACATAGTCAGGAAAGAGTCTGGAGAGTGGATGGTGGAAGTCAAATCCCTAAAGGAGCCTACTATACTAAATATTATTGTCAAACAAATTGGCAATCTCTTCAAAAAGATATGAAGGACAAATAAGCCCTCTCCTCCCTATATTCATTTTAGCTGCCATTAATTAAGCTCTAATTTCCAGTTAATCAAGCTACATTGGCCAATTCATTGGATTCTTCCAAAGTTTCATCTTGTTTATCTCTCTAATTTCTAAGCACAAGTTTTACTCTGGTCTTCTGCAAGGATATTTGTAAACAAATATCACCACTGTGGTGCAAACAAAAGTTAAACTCAACACGCTACTTTAGGTTAGTAATATATTAAACTATAGTAATAGTGTGCTGTAGTTTCAGAGTGTGCTAGCTACACTGCAGATCTTTGGGATCTTTCCTAACAAACCAGATGATAGATAATTTATTTAAAATAAATTATCCAGCTGATCAAGCTTATTTAAATATCTCTAAATTTCTAGAGAGTTGCTATTTAACATGTCTTTAACTGATACTTTTGAATCACATGTGTAAACTGTCTCTAGAAATCAGAGTTTGGGCTTTTTTCGTTATTTTTTGAGGAGCTAGAACTCTAATGTCATGTACAAAACCTTTGTCAGCTTCCACAGTGTAGGCTTATGATTCAAGACAAAATCTAAAATGAAGGAGGAAGAAAACATTTTCATCTTCTTTTCTGCTTTCTATCCTTTCTACTGAAGTGCAAGTGGTAGAAAGATAGTGTTTGAGGGTAAATTGAAATAAAAGTGAAGCTTTATGTGTGTATGTATAGCATTAAGAAATAGATGAACTGCTAGAATTCCCCAAGAAAACACACAGTTTAGCTTCCCCATCCTGTTAAGCTTGCTCCTGTTCTTTTTATGATTTCATATAGGGCATAAATGATAGCCTACTTTAATTATAGCTCTTCTCTTGGTCCTCATATTTTATAAACTGACCACACTGTAACTTCAAAGACTTTGGCTAGAAACTATTGGGGGTATACTACTAAATATTTAGCTTTGCCCAAGAACATATTAATGCTTTTTACAGCATTTCATCAGGTTCATTATTTTTATGCACAGTGTTAGTACGTTCAGTATTGTACCTGAATATACATCCTGGGTTATAAAAACTTACATACCATATCACCTTTGGAAAAGCTAGAGTTTGACTTCCAAAACCTTTAAATCATAATTATTATTTATATGCATGCATTTCATATTGCACGTATTACAATCACATTTATGTAACTTTTCCTTAGTTATTTTGTATACAGTTTTCCAGAAGTGTGGAAACTTTTGAAGAACGACAATGTCAAAAATCATCATTTCCCTCTATGTCAAGTAAAATGTAAGTTGGAGATGAGGTCTAGTCACCAAAGAAATCCTCTAAGTGTGTTAGAAGCTGAAGGTAAGAGTGTTTTGCTGATCTGTTGTGTGCCAGAAGTACAGATACTTGAGGCTAGATTCAGATACATATCTTAAGAACTTAAATCCCTCCTAACTCCTAATAGAGCTTGTCTGTGTCTAAAACTGTGTTCAACTCCCTTTTTCAGCTATCATCTAACCATTCAGACGGCTAAAAATCTTGTGTCACAATTTTTGCCAATAAAATTCCTTCTTGCTTAAAGGGAGCCCAAGAAACATCTATCTCAGTCTTGACAGTGCTCTAGGCACTGTGCCCGGTCTCCATCAGGATCTACGTACTCCTCTTCCCTCCGGTTATCTTTCCTGAAGGCCTGATCAAATTATAGTCCAGAGATAATTTTAACTGATAAGCAGCACCACTTTCCTATCCTACCTGAAGGAATTTGAGCCCAGACTGCCCTGAGAGTCCCCAAAGCCCCCAGCTCCATCCCGTGCTGCGTCACGGGGTAGCCAGGCTTCAATGTCCCATGAAGCTGTTTCACTTTGCATGGAAAGTCTAAATATTTGCTGGATCAGAGGGAAAACAAAGTGGATTTCTGGAGGCAGCAATGCTAGGGAGATAGCATCCTATTTCATAGATTAGTTTCATCTTTTATATCTAAATTGCCCTTATGTCCTAAATATAGATTAATAGTTTTATATATTGTGTGAGTGCTGCAGGATATGTAGGTACATGGAGGAAGCTATTTAGGTGAGATGAATTGTAGTGCCATAACTGGCACCCTAAACTCCAATCCTGCGCGGTTGCTGAAGTGAGATGAATTCAGGTCCAGAAGAAGAGAAAAATTCCCAGTAGTTATTAAGTTAAAAATGAAGTGGAAAAAATTCTAACTAAAATATACTTCCAAACAGCAGCTGTATACTTTGAAAAAGTCATTTCTGGTGATACTTTAAATGCAGGATTTACTTTGATGATGGGCAATTTGAAACAATAAGTTAAAGTACATTTTTTTGTAAGGAAATTCTTCTTGACAAATCTATAAAAATGGGTTTGCATCAAAAGACAATTGACAAAAAGAAGTAGATGATATAATTTCCTTGGATGTTCAAAAGGTCCTTAGCAATACCTCTAGCGAGTTTATTAAATAAATTTATGAAGTGGAAGGGAAAAGCAAAGTAAAACCATAAAACCAAGTAAGAGATAGAATATGAAACAAAGACATTATCTTCTTTCAATTTGGTAAGTGTTAAGAGAAGGGTGACAATCTTCAGAAGATGTGCAAGTGTTTGGATTAGCAGAGATAAAGATTGTGAAGAACTTTAAAAGCAGAAGAAAGTGTTCATGATAAAGAATGATTTGAACAACCCAAACGTTTTCACTTTGGATTTCAAATATCTATAAGTGGTATTGTTTTAGGCAGGCTGTCTGGATTGCAGTATCATAAATCCATTCATCCATATGTCTTTTTGTGCATCACCATTGACATCTGTGAAATTATATCATATGACACGCAGGAGAACACATCTCATTTCACAATCCCTAAGAGAGATAGGCATATCAAGAGATCCAAAGTTAGTCTGCAATTAACATAAGGGATGCATTTATTATCAATGAACTAAGGATTAACCACTCTACTTTTAGTTGTTCTTCCCATATAAAGTGGCAAAAAATGAATGTTTATTGGACTTCCAAATAAACGCACACAGAGTCCTCTTTGAGCTAGGAAGGACTATGTGTGAAGATGTACCATATGGCTGATAAGCGAACAATGTTATGTGCTTAATTCAGGCCATGGATAGGCAGTTAATCATTTGAGTACAGAAATATTCATGTTAAAAAAACTGCAATTTACACCTGCAATTTTTTAAGTTCTAATTATAATGGCTGTTTTCCCAAGTATGCAAGGCCGTTTTTCATAGACAAATGAATGACTCTGATTCTCTATTTCCAAACAGCATGACTCATATTTCATTACTATTTGAAGACGAAGGTCCCTTGTCAGTAATGCCTGAGTAACATACTGTCATTAACTTCCCTCATACATATGGGCACCCTGAAATAAACTGCTAGCTTTTGAGTGTCTACATTGGTGACAATCTGTGAAGAAATCAGAGTATACTCCTGACAACAGCATCAATGATTCTACATATGGTATGCAATATAACCTGCATACCAAGGAAATGAAATATAATGTGATTCAGAAGTCCAGCTCACGAAATCAAGCCTAATGGCTCAAGGTGGCGCAAGGAAGGGGCTACTCACTGAATCTCTGTTCTGGGGAGTTATCAGGTAAAGGGTTTCCTTCTTCTGCATAGCTACTGAGGGTTAGGAAGGAATAAAGAAATTAAGTTTAAGACTACTGTGAAAAGACTCTGAGGATCTTTGCTTTGGGATCCACTGAATCACATGGCTGAAATACATCATTGCACCCAGAATGGATCAAAATCTAGTGATGTAGACTGCAGACTTTAGCTAATGAGGAAGGAACTATGGTGATACAGTTCGGTTTGTGCATGTTTATATGTGTAGCTAGCATGCTCAGGACCACAGGCAGAATTTTGAGACATTAAAGAAAGTAGTATGCAGATGGCATTTCATATATGTTCTGTGAACTCTAAAGTTAACCTCCTGGAAAGACTTTATGGCACAGCACAAAATAATATTTTTATTTTGTGATTGACAAGAGGGCATTTTGAGTCCTCCGTAAAAAAGATTGAAAAAGCCTAAATGGGTTTTGATGGGTAACGTTAGTGCTACATGCATTAGTGTAATGAATTCTAGAGAGTGAGGCTGAACTTTCTTGTCTCACTCCATGTCCTTGAGAGGATCCATTGATCACTTTTGCCTCTGCTTTAACAAGATGCACCTTTACTGTCTAAATGTCCTTTGAGCACTTTTACAGGTTCCAAATGTTGACAGAAGGATCCTGCCTTGTCTTGCTAGATGTACCTCAGGGATGGCTAGGGCCCTGAAAGCCTTTTTTTCCCCTCCCTCATTGCTTCCACAGAAATCCAGCACAAGGGCAGCATAAGTTCCTGATAGTTCACAGAGTGACTGGCAAAGATCCTGATGATAATTCTAGCACTGCTCCTCATATTTACACTTTAAATGCCTTCTTTAAATGTCTTGAGTGATAAATTTTTGCCAAGCTACATCGTGTATTAGCACTGTCATATTTAAAGTGTCAGCTACAGAAATACAACTTCTGCTCCTTCTTTTCCCTCCAGCAGCTCTCTTCACCAAATTTCTCCTCCTCGTAATCCTTCACTTGCAACAGCATTAAGCGACCCATCTTAGAGGAACAATGAAAAAAGTATCAAGAGTCTAAACATGGCAACGGGCACTAAAATAAGGTACTAATCCTGCATGCTGTTCTTGTTGCAAAACCCAGGCTTTTGAAGTTGGTCACGGTTTAGGGCTCACTTAAACATCTTTATTTCAAAAATCAGGAGATCTCATACTTCTGCACACACACAGGAGACTAGGACCTCAGAATATTGTCCCTGTAGAGAGAAACTGCAGCAAATTCAGCGTGCCTACTAAAATTGTTTCCTGCTTGCTCATTTTTTACAGGATATTCCGTACACAAATCGCAAGCTAAGACATACCCCACTCCTTAGCTGAGCTACGTATGTAGTTCTAGCTTTGTTTTTAAAATATGCTGTTCTTTTTCTTCATTAAACAATTCTGGAATCTCATCTGGCCAGAGGCTGGTATTAATACAGCACGTGGACTCTCAGTTGATAGCAATTCATTTGGTAGCTATAGATATCACAGATACTAAGCTCAAGTATTTCATGTGCAAAGCAACTGCTGAAGAAGAATGTTTAATAGTCTACGTTTTGTTGGGGCAGTAGCCCCAAACTTTTCAACTGTGAGAAGTTAATGTGGTAAGTCTCTGGTGTTAATGAAACCACATGGTGCTTCTGTTGCATTGACAATGAAGCTTTAGTCTCTGCCGTGAAGAGGTCACAGAAAATGGCAATAAATCAAATGTGCAGTGGATAATAATCAAAATTGCTATAGGAGTTGGAAAAATTGTAGGTTACTTGTCTCTGTTAATTGTAGCTTTTGAGCCTTTTGTTTTAATTCCAAGCATCTATGTAAGAAGAACCATTTATTAAACTCATTCATTATAAACCCATGAACATGTATATTACATACCGTTTGTTGATAATAGGCCAGGCTGAGCAAAGTAAGGAATATGTTTCAGTAATATGTTACTGAAAAGAAAGAAGGGGTGGATGCTTAGAACTTGACATTCTTATGAGATTACCCCTTTTTTCCTGCATTAAGCTGCTGTCTTGCACTGCCAAAAGTATGAATACGCTTGTGATATTTGGACCTATAGTACAATTAATATATTGGTCTGTGAAAGCACATTCTCTAGATCACTAGGCAGGATTTAGATAATCATTGTAATGTTTAAAGTGTTTATTTCAGCCTTTTAAAGCTGTCACTGCTTAAGCCAAATAATTTTACAGTGTTTCAGCTCTCAGAGAAGAAAAAGCATAGGGACTCCCTGCTCCCACTGAAGCCCATTGCCCCCAAAATCTGATGGGTGAAGGACCTATGTCAGCAGTAGTTGAACTCTTCTAACGTTTTATTTTCTCTGTAGGTAGGGATGATCTTTCTTTACAAAGCAAAAGTTGTCATTTCACTGGTAGGAAAACAAAGTATGTAAAGGTTAAGTGGCCCCTGACTGCATTGAAAATGGAGGCAAGGTTCCCCGAATCTCCTGTGGTCTCTCACTTGTTAGACTGCATAGCATCACCTAGCCTATTTCACGATGTTGTTTTATTTGACATTTTGATATGATCAAAAAATAATACTAAAGCATATGCAGGCCCAGATTTATGGTAGCTTTAAACATGCTTATGAAATGTTAAGATTATAAAATAAATATTATGGGGTAAAGAAACACCTGCTATGAACAAAGTTATTTCATTTTAAAATTTGTAGTAAAACTCCTCTATTTTTATTTCACTTATGTCATGCAAAAATTCTTATCTTTCCTGAGCTGTGATATGAACTGTCTACTATGGACAAGAACTGGAAATGCTATAATTTCTCTGCTTCTAACAGCACCGGCTACAATGGCATTCAGTTTCTAACTCCTGTTTCAATGCCTTACTTTCCACTGTTTATAATAGGAACTTTGTGATTTCATGGGAAATTGTGTCAATGTGACCCCTGCACTATGCATCTATTTGAACAAGGCTAATCTCTCAAACTTTGCACAATTTCCTCTAGCTACCTACAAAAGTCAGACTAGTCCTCTCACTGTTCACTAGGAATGTACTGTGAGAGACTCATCTATGCACAGATAAAATAACTAAGTCAATATGACTCAAAAAATTCAAGCATAGGACAGTGTAGCATGGGCATGGATCCGTAGAAGTATCAGGGTGCACTGTGACTACTCTAACCACTCTAGGCTATTTGCAGAAGAGTAACTCAAGGATAACCAACTTATATTACTTTGGCAGTGTAGACATATCTTGAGCTTGATAGACTTTGTCTTCACATTAGTCCTTTTCTTTATGCAGGATTGATGACCCTTTATATTATATGCATAAAGTATCCTTCTTAAAGCATTTATGTGCTACTAGGTTCATACGCCTGAAACAACATTTGTGGAAATGTGAAAAAAAGAATAATATTTTTATATTTTCATAGAATCACAGAACGGTTGAGGTTGGAAGGGACCTCTGGAGATCATCTAGTCCAACCTCCCTGCTCAAGCAGGGTCCTCTAGAGCATATTTCCCAGGATCACATCCAGACAGGTTTTGAATATCTCCAGCGAAGGAGACTCCACCACCTCTCTGGGCAACCTGTTCCAATGCTCTGTCACCCTCACAGTGAAGAAGTTTTTTCTCAGGTTTAGGTGGAACTTCCTGTGGTTCAGTTTGTGCCCATTGCCTCTTGTCCTGTCGCTGGGCACCACGGAGAAGAGTCTGGCCCCATCCTCTCGACACCCTCCCTTCACATACTAATACATGTTGATCAGATCCCCTCTCAGTCTTCTCTTCTCCAGGCTCAACAGGCCCAGCTCTCTCAGCCTTTCTTCAGAGGAGAGATGCTCCAGTCCCCTCATCACCTTTGTAGCCCTCTGCTGGACTCTCTCCAGGAGTGCCAGGGCTCTCTTGTACTGGGGAGCCCAGAGCTGGACACAGTACTGCAGGTGAGGCCTCCCCAGGGCTGAGTAGAGGGGCAGGATCACCTCCCTCGACCTGCTGGCAACACTCTGCCTTCAGGAGGGTCCTCTCTGCCCACCTCTCCAGCCTGTCCAGGTCCCTCTGAATGGCAGCACAGCCTTCTGGTGTGCCAGCCACTCCCCCCAGTTTAGTATCATCCGCAAACTTGCTGAGGGTGCACTCTGTCCCTTCCTCCAGGTCATTGATGAATACACTGAACAAGACAGGACCTAGTACTGACCCCTGGGGGATGCCATTAGCTACAGGCCTCCGTCTAGACTCTGCGCCACTGACCACAACCCTCTGAGCTCTGCCATCCAGCCAGTTCTCAAGCCACCTCACGGTCCACTCATCCAACCCATGCTTCCTGTGTTTACCTAGGAGGATGTGATGGGAGATAGTGTCGAAAGTCTTGCTGAAGTCCAGGCAGACAACATCCACTGCTCTCCCCTCATCTACCCAGCTAATCATCCCATCAGAGAAGGCTGTCAGATTGGTCAAGCATGGTTTCCCTTTGGTGAATCCACGCTGACTACTCCTGATCACCTTCTTGTCCTCCACATGCTTAGTGATGACCTTCAGGAGGAGCTGTTCCATCACCTTGCCAGGGATGGAGGTGAGGCTGACAGGCCTGTAGTTTCCTGGCTCCTCCTTCTTGCCCTTTTGGAAGACTGGCGTGACATTGACTTTCTTCTAGTCCTCAGGCACCTCTCCTGATCTCCAGGACCTTTCCAAGACGATGGAGAGTGGCCTAGCGATAACATCCGCCAGCTCTCTCAGCACTCGTGGGTGCATCCTGTCAGGGCCCATGGATTTATGGATGTCAAGTTTGCACAAATGATCTCTAACCCAATATTCAGGATTCAGGGAAACAGCTGCACTGAAGAAGATGTACAGATGAAGATGATGAGTGGAGGAGACCCCCACTGGTTCTTTTGCTGGCTGGTCACTGGGGAGAGTTTTTCCTATGTCTTTGCCTTTGCCTTACTGCCCCTCTCTCTTTTTTTTTTCATTTTCATTTTTGTTTTCATGTTGCTTTTCCTTTTCCTTGAAAGTAAATTTTAGCATCAGAGTCGATGCATGCCATTAACTACCAACCCCACAAATAAATCTTTGAACATGTAGGCCTGTCTCCTCAGACTTTGTACAATGCTATACAAACAATGCTATACTTCTGCTTGGTCCATTTGGTGCCCTTGTGTTGGCCAACGTGGTATGGCCTCCCCCAGGCAGGGCAGGGCAGGGCAGGACAGGGGCCTGGTCAACCCCAGGTCTGGAGGGGAAAGCGACCAGGTCTGGAGGGGAAGGCGACCAGGTTGGTGTTGGGTTCCTTCCTTCCTCCTCTCTCTGGTCTTGTCCCATTCATAGGGGTGTGTGTTTGTGCCTACAGTCATGAACACAGAGACCTCTGTCCCTTGCCAGGTGGGTTTCAACCACTTCCACTGGGCACATGGAGCTGCTATACAGCAGTGAAAGGTTCTAGTTAGGTAACCACTTATCACATAACAGTATGCACATGGTTTATGCCTAGGTCAAAGGTGGTATCACATGGAATTACCTTGGCTTGTTATGCTACAATCCTTTTTACTAGGTACACTCATGATCTTCTCCAGGAATAACTCCTAGCACTTGCTTAAAAAGCATTTTTGAAAGACTCATTTTATTTTAGTTGACTCCAAAAACTATGTGTTAATATATGCAAGCTAAAGAAGATTGTCACATAAAAAGAGATGAGTAAATATATTCACTTCAAATGCTATTAAACAATATTACTGTGGTAATAGAGAACACTTCAGCACTCACCAATATCTAATACATCCAATTGGGATTCTAAATTAGCTCTTTTTTTTTTCCCTAATAGTCAATATCAAGCAGCATGGCATAACTGAATGTTCTTATACTTTTTTCATAGGTTTAACAACTAATTATCATTCAACAGGACATGTACAATTTGTAAGTATAACTCATTATATTACTGAAGAATGTAGAGGTTAGATGTTTTATTTACATCCTAGTGCACTAATTACAAAGTTTTATCTTTTATGACAGATAAAACCTAATTTTTTTTGTCCTAAATTTGATCTATTATGTTTTCTCTTTTTGTCCTCTGTCCTTAACTGAAAGAAATATTACTGCTTGCTGCCAGGCAACTGCTGCTTTGATATGCAAAATTTGTGGTCACTGTTAGCATATGGAAAAATCGACCTCACAAGACTTTGCAACCTGATTACTCTTCAAAAGTAATTTCAAGGGCTTTCTGAAGAGTGGGAGACAAATCCTGTGGCACAGTAAACCAAGGGATGATCTGGCGTTCTGATTTTTTAACATATTACTCAGAAAGGGCTAATAAAAGGATTATAGGCTAAACCATTTACTTCCTTTTTATTGAAAAAAAAACCCCACAAAACTTCTAATAGTTTTGCTACAATATAAGAACCCAAACCCCTAAGTGCTTCTGCATATGATTAATTTCAAATATGTAAATATGCCCAAGGAAGTCAGTAAGATTGCTCATACACTAGGTTAACGTGTTAATTGCATTAACTTAGTGCTTAAGGAAGCCCAGTCAGAGTCAGGGACCCCTGAGTTCTAAATGTGCTATATAAACAGAAATGAAGCCCTGACTCAGAGGGCTTCTGAGCAAGATAGATAGAGAAAGTGAAGAAAGGTGGGATGCTATGGGGAATGGAAACCACAGGATAGTGCTCATTTCAGAATACCAACAGCTGGACTCTGGTACTTTTTTGGAGGATTTTAAAGCAGAAGGGAGTCTTAAGTGCAACATAAAGCATCTTTGCTGATATTGATAGGGAAATTTCTTCTCCAAAAGAAGCAAAATTGCTTGAAAAATCTTACCACTTAGAAATAGAAACTGATTACATGAACCTGATGCTACTGAAAGTTAATCTTTTAGCCCTGAATGAGAGAGCCTGAGCAGGGAGACAATAAACTGCAAACATTTTTGAAAGGGAAGATAAGCTGTTTATGTGATGGAAAAGAGGGGTCATTGGAAGACAGCAAGAAACAGGATAAGGCCATTTCAAGCTAGGAAAATGATCTTTTAGCAACATTCGGAATGGTTATCACCAGGACAACTGACAGTCTTGACAACCAGGGCAGGTATCATCATACTCAAAAGTAAAATGATATGAGGCTGGGTAAAAACTACAATTATGCAGACAGTTAGGAAAGACTCTATCTTAGATATACTAAATGGAGGAAAATAAGTGTGCCAGATTAGAAAGATCAAAGTCAAAGATGACTGTTTGGTTGTAGATTTGATCGTGCGGTCCATAGTATACAGAAGGGAGCTGAAGGCTTCAGCATGGAAGATTAAGATCTCCCTTTAGTCTCACTGAGTCTTGTCTGATGACTAGTTATCCATGAGGAGTTTTCACAGAAACAAAGGAGATTTTGGACAGAAGCAGTATATAAAATCTGAGGTTGAATTTATGCTTATGCATGATGTAACTCATGTAAACATTTGCAGGATCACATCCTAATGCATTACTCCACGTTTAAATTGGAGAGGTAAGCGTGGGTTCAAACAGTTAATTCCATACAGTAATCTCTTAGCATCTCAATACTGATATTATCAAAGTTTGGTCTCAGAGTTGTTGTGTTTCTACTACTTATCCAGATAGCTGACTTTTTTTTTCTCATCACTTGAATTTCTGATTACCCTTTTATTGAAGGATGGGATACACCTTTCCAACAGAGTCACTTTATCATTCTTATTGCTATCTGCATTACAAATGGATTAATTAGCATTCTCATCACAAAAACCAAGTTCATTGTCTGATAAGTCAAGAATTTCTTCAGATACATCTTGAGGTATTTGATTTGCCTTATTTATATTCTCAGTAGGCATCTTTCTCTCACTTGCTGGAAATGAGTGTAAGTAAATCGTGATTCTGCTCATTACTTTATTCTGCTTGAGATTTTTTTATCCTTCGTTTGTGACGTGGAATCCTTGTGTATTTTTTTCTTCCTTTGATTAATTGGTTTGTGACTTCTGAGATACGGTATACATTCCATTGTTGACTATGTAAAACAAGTTATTATGTTTTGAATATGTAGTTTATATTCAGTAATTGCTTAAATTGAAAAATGTATCTGGGTAATAATTACAACTTAAAAAATAAACTAACTAATTTAAATATGTATTTCCTGGGATTTGTTTAATGATGAATTCATGATGGCCATATTATTAAATCTGTACAGAGGGCTTATTTGCAAAGGATAGCTTTCAGGATTTGGTGGAAGCAAATTTTTTGAATTTATTTATAGCTTTTCCTGTGATAAGATACATAAGTTTTCCCTGTTAATCTAACATTTTTTGATCCTGTCACCTATTCAGATTAGTCCCACTCAATTCCAGCACATGCTGAACCTTGTGCCACACCTTCATCAATATGCCAATATATGCCACCCAATAGGAATATGGAATATACTTAAAATATTGTGGCTTTTGCTGATTATAATTTCTCACTAGAATTCTCTATTTTCAGTATTAATAGATGAGATTTTCTCAGGAGTATTTGAACTCATTTTTTCAGAGCTAGTAAAAATTGCACATTGCTGCAGTCAGTGTCGTAGAGGGATACATCATTGCCACATAGCTGTGCCATTTGCTGCCATTAAAAAGTTAGAGTCAAGTAGTTAAAAGAGTGAGCACAAAAGTGATCTTCACCTTATTTCCCCAGTTTTATAGACACCCATGTCTCCATTCGGTTGTCCGTATGAAACTGTGAGATGCCTGAGGGTAACCTGAAAGAGCCACATGGAGCTAACAGATACAGCACAGGTGCTACAGGAGTCCTAGGCCTTTCTGCAATGACAGCTGGAGGGCAGACAGACCTCTGATAACGTCTGGAATGGTGCTCTGTGCCTGCTTATAGGCAAAAGGGTTGAAGCCAGGGTGCAATTCAGGTCTTGACTGCAATATCTACATTTTGGTGCTTATGCATGGGGCCTCTGCATTAGTAGTGCAGTGCTGATCAGAAATATCATTTTGAAGAGAATCTCCTTCCTTAGTGCACTTCTGTTCATGCCACAGAGTATGTGAACTGCATTCATTGTGCTGAAATTCATCTTGAAGCCCACCTGAAATGGAATCTCCAGGAGTACACCTAGAGGTACTCCAGCTGCAAACACATTAATTTCACGGGACTAGCCTAGAACTAATCCAAGTGAAAAATTGCAATGTGTATAATGTGGGTATCAGATTCTCCTCAACAAGCCTATTGCTCTGCTTATCCGTTCTTACTGGTCTGCACTGCTTGATGAAGCAGATGTAGCTATAATATTTCAGCTGCCATGAAGTGGAGATCCTGTGAAAAAGGTCAAAGTCTAGACCCTGCTTCAGCTCTCTGATGAAAACACGTTAGTTAGTGGCCATCACTAGTTAGGTCGATAGTAGCAGTCTCAGCTTTGTAGAATGTATCAACAAGATTCTCACTGCCTGTAATAAGAGGTTGGAAAAGTAGTGTCAAACAGGTAATGGATGAGCAAAATGAACATTGTATTATTTATAAAACACACTAACCATGAGATTTCTTTCTGTAACGTTGGTTAAGAAGTTTTATTTTTCAGAGTTGGAGTGAAGATGATATAATGGTATGAATTTTGCTTAAATCCATCTGTACAGTGAGCCGGAATACTGTAGCTGTTAGTATTTTTCTCCTCAAATAGACACATTTATATTCTTAAATAATGGTAGTACTTAAGGTGTAAAATATTGCTGAATGAAAGTAACCAAGACCTGTGTTAACAGAGATAGTAAAGGGAAGGTGTTAATGGTGCTATAATATTCCGCTCTTGCTAACACCTTTTTCAGCAATTTTTCTCTGTTGTGAAGCAGTAACAACTTCAAATCCCTCCCCCAACTCCCATTCATACAGCAGTATTTAAATATCATAGGACAGAAATCATCTGCCTCCGTGTTATTTACATATATAGTATGTTGGTTCCTCTTGCAGTTTACTGAATGACTTTAACAGTATTCTTATTGCTATTTTTGTAGGTTTTGTTATTTCTACAACAGTTGTAAAGCCTTATTACTCATAATCAATTGTCTGAGTACAGTTTGATGCATCTGGCCCTATTTCCCTTAATATTTTTATCTTGGAGAGATAAAACCAAAGGATAACATCTCTGCAAGTTTGGCTTATGAAATACTACTGTAAAACCACTCTAGCCTAGTCTGGTAAACCCTTTATGATTATGAGTGATTTCTATTTCCTTTTCATATTCAGAATGGACCTTATACATAATATTAGAGGCTTCCTAACCACTCTAAACACTGCAGAATATGTAGCTACATAATAAGCACTTATACATCATTACATCAAAGTAAAACTGGTAGCAGATAGTGATGCTTGTTGAGGAACAATGAAGAACTTTTGCTTAAATTTCAGCAAAAAAAATGTATAATAGTTCCCTATGTTTTCAACAGCAGGGCTACTAATGGATGCAATCTGCCTTTTTATGTAAGCACTTTATTTTCCTATCCGGTTTCAAAGGGGTATGCACTCTGTGCTTTTCCTAGGGAGTGCTCCACTGTAAGATTTACTTTCATCAAAGTTTTGTCTGGTGGTCCTGCTGTGTTTCTTCATGATAGAGCATATTCAGCTCAGGCTGATAGCACACAGCATAGTTAAATTGCTTTTGGCCATCTTAGGGTTCAGACAGGGCTCCTTCACATCTGTGTGACTCTCTTCGCATGGCAATCTTCAGGATACTGTGCACACAGATATACTGTACTGTGCTTTTTTGACTGTTAGGCCTGCCGTCCTCTCACTGCCTTTATTCTCTAGGTTTTCGAAGACAGATAGGCTAAAAATCTAAGCCAGTTGCTGCTACAGCCTCTATTAGGATTTCAGGATGTCCAGTACCTCCCTGCAGGAGGAGACTTTGCTGCTTTGCTCATGTTCCTCAGGCTGCTTTGGTCA